TCTATTGTTGACTTCATATTGTATACGATTTGAAAATACTTTTTACATTTTAAACGCTTTAATTCGACCACAAGACACAACGAAACTAAAATTGCGTTCGTAGTACGGTGTATGACTTGCTGTCGTAGAGACTCGACATTACAAAAACAGTAAACATATCAGAATTTGCATGTTTATGTTACTTAACATCGACACTACCAATGTATCTCGTCTTGTCCTGTATTAAACTGAGTGAAACAGCGTTTTCATATTTTTAACAAAGCATTTATGGGGTTTTTGTTACGTAACACTTCAGTCTTAGGTTTACTTGTAGAACACTTGCAGAAATTTCAACGAACCGCTAAAAAATTGTGTTTAAAATAGAATACGATTTCCGATTGTTTGGAAGGAAAATGCACTCGTAGAAGATTTCTGATAAAAGTAAATTGAAAAGATCATTGACGTTCGACGTCGGTTCAAAGACAAGCGAATTTATTGCGTACCGCGAAAGACACGTTGCGTCTCGCGTTCGACACGCCACACGCGATGACAATTAATTTCTCCGCGCGTCATTAGGCTCGTTGTTCGTTTCCTTCTTCGGCGCCTCGAAGGCCTAATCGCTCTGTGTATTCCTATGACTGGCTCTCGAAACCGCGGAACCCTTCCAAATACGACGGTTAATTAAAGTGACTGCGTTTTGCTTGGCGGGCAAGATACACAAAAGCACAATGGAGTCATACAGCACGATATAATTCCGATGATCTTGGCAAGACAACCTTTCGATTCTGGAATTTCTCATCGAGATCTTGTTCTCGACGATTTCTTCGTACTGCAAACGTAATAGAAACGTTTAGGAATTAAAATTCGATCTGATAAAAAGAGAATTTGAAACGAACATCTTTGGCAATTAAACAAGCTAATTATTTATGGGTTAACGATGTAATGAAATATCGTTAATCAAAACATCGAATGCCTGAACGACAAATCAGGCAAAAACGGCTTGGCGTGGAACGTGTTAAATTATAAATCGTCAATTTTAGAATTTCGAACGTCACGAACTTATAGAACGATCTGATATTACATGGACCCGTAGATTGGCGGTGTTTTCTTGAAAAAATGTCAGGTTTTTGGACGAACCTGTATTTTTATGGAAGCTATATCATCCTGAATGTCTCCCGTCGCAACGATCGAGAGTGAGAAAAAGCAAACGATCACCTGTTAGCAACGGCGGAATTAAAGTAAGAACGAACGCAGAAGGGTAGCAAGAACCGCTCCTATTAGTTTCCGTTATGAGGTATGTTTGTTCGTGGCGCTTAATTGCTGCTAAATGTCGAGTTCGTGCATGAACTCGCGGGGTCCATTGACAGCCAGGCCACTTTCATTTCTCTGTTCTCTGACACAATCTTCGCCGCGTTACACTTTCCTTGGCGCGCTGGCCACGGTGAAACAGCGGATAGATCGAAACTCTCGTTTTCAATATCTCCCGGTGTGCCGTGTGCTCACGCACCGTAACGGGCAAATCAGCCCCGATTGTATAACGTGGCCTCTTATATGGCCCCACGTGCTTTTGCATCTTGTCTGCTAAGTAGCCACCAAGTCACTTTAATTAACCATCGTATTTGGAAGAGTCCTGCGGTTTCGAGAGCTGGTCGTAACGAGTCCTGGCCGATTAGGCGTTTCCAGCTACCAACGGAACGAGCAGCAATTCTAACGGTAGTTACTTCTCGAGGATACCTTCTGTGATTCAAGGTCATAGAAATTGCCGAGGCACCAACTATCCGTAAATTACCATCGATCATTTTTTGTTATAGTCTGATAATTATTGGGCCGACCAAAGACTAGTTTTTCTTTGAAAAACAATCATTTTTATCCACAATGTATCGTCCATTTTGCTCTTTCGGGCCACCTACCAACCTAATTGTTATGCAGGGTGTTAGGCCAAATAGAAGCCAAAATAAGACGAAAATCAAGAATAACAAAATTATTGACAAAAATTATTAATAAAACTTTTCCATCTACTCGTATTTTTTTCTCGAAAGTGCGTAATATTTCGGGGGTATGTGTATTGACCAAAAATAATTGTAATTGACCCCCACAACCGAAAATAATTTTTCCAGAATGATTTCAAATTTGTAAATTTTAGGTACCTACCCCCTGTCGACTTTTCTTGAAAATTCGATTATAAGTTTTCGGAGAAAATTATATTTGCTGGAGAAAGTAAATGTCACAAATTTTCATAAACGTGTAGCAACGACAATTGATTAACGTCGATGAAATTTGATTCGAATCGAAGAAGGTGTATGGGTTTTCCGTGTGTATTAATATAAATTGCCTTTTCTGTAGAATAAGTGTTGTGGAAAGTAGAAGGTATTTTATAACTGTGCGTGAAAATGAGGAAATAACGATTTAGAAATTCAAATGCCTGCATCGTTACTTTTACATATGTATGTATCGATATTATAATTTCCGGTTTCGGTAAATGTGAATTGCTTTCTTGATAAGTAATTTTTCGGTCGTTTTTCCTGTACTATTAGTTTTGGAAACTAGAATGGGAAGCCCGCATCGCGTACGAGCTCATAAATGAAGGATTATACGCCACGACACGTGGACACGTTTCTATCGTTAAACAAGAACGACACATCGCACGTGCTCAATTTACCAATTCCTTTCCGCTCCCTTCCGTTACAAAAAGATCCGTATATTGCTTCACATTCCAAGTACTTGGATAAACGAGCAATTTTGTAAACCACGTTTCCCCTTTCAAAAATATCAATGCAAAATGTGCAAACTTGTTCTAAACTTTGAACCATTTTTTAACGATTATTAACCTTTAGGCGAACAGGATTCGATGAAATTAATTTTATACGTAATCTTATATATATCAACTATGTATACATAATTATTATGAACACTATATCACGAAATTTCTTTACAAAGACACCGACTAATTCTTTGAAATCACTTTTAAACGAACAATTTATAGCGTTACAAAACAATACAAGTCTGATAGATTAAATTGAAATGTTCGTAAAAAAAATTTAATCACAGTTGATGCTGAACGAGCAAAGAAATGTACGTACGATAATATGAAGTTAATTAAGTCTTCGTGATATATCGATATTAGTTCGTGCCAATGGTGTAATCGCAACGAATAGAATTTAATTATTGTTTACTGGAGAGCAGATTCAATCAAATAAAATTCCAATAAAATTAACGCGTGAATGGTCGTTCGGTATTCATGTAATCCGACAGTTATGTAATCGCGAGTTATTACTTCTTCTTGTCACATCTAATTACTTCTTTGGTAAGCTTCGCAGAGGTTGTTTTTGCGATGCAGGATCTTTGCCTCTGTCACTAATCAATCGAAAGCGTTTACGCGAATAATCAGTTAAAGACTGTTGCCGGGTAACGTGCACGCGGGAAAAGTAAAATGAGAGTCGTTAATTGGGGGGGGAAAAAAAAACGACAAAAATAGAAGCAATCGATGCACAACCATTACAGAGCTCGAGGTAATTGCACGTTCGCGAAGCATTTATTTTGTGCAATCAGGGATACATCCGACAGAAAATATAATTATCGACCATTTATATTCACGTACGAACTAATAACTTAAACAATTTCTACGTTTACTGCCCGAGCTCGTTCTCCTCCAAATTATGGAAGTTCTCAATCGCTTCCACGAATCTGATTTATTACCATAAAATCAATGTGTGGCTCGATTAAATCACTTCTTGTTTACGAATCTTTCTACCAAGTTCTTTGTGTAGAATTTCGCTATATTTAGCACCGTGCACTACCTTTCTAATCACAGTCCATTAATATATTCAACTCTTAATCGTGACAAAACACATAAATGTCGATCGAAAAGTTTGGGATGTCCGCAATTCGTAAAATTGGCATCGAAAATAGTAGAATTTTGTAAACGATCAAAGCACATAATAGAAAATGAATATTTCTCGAAACAAAATATGGATATAAAGATGTTTTTAAATTTTTATTAATATTAATTTAGTTCATGAATTGTTGTATAGTTTTGTTTTGAAAGAAAATATGTACCAAATAGGAGTTTATTGATTGTAGTACTGCAATAATTAGGAGAATTGCCTTCATCAAAGTCGAATGGTTTAATGGGAGATTCTAGAGGCCAAAATAAGACGAAAATCAAGAATATCAATTTCTTGATTGAAGCTTCATTAAAAAGTTATTAAAAAATTAAATTAAAAAATTTCAAATCATTCTAAAAAAATTATTTATGGTTGCAGGGGTCAATTACAATCATTTTTGGTGAATACATATACCCCCGAAATCCTACGCATTTTCGAGAAAAAAATTCATACCAAAAATCTAATGTCTGATCATGAATGAATGATTCCCCTGAAATTTCATGTGATTCAAATCGTTTTGAAAAAATTATTTTCGATTGCAGGGATCAATTACAATTATTTTTAGTTATTAGGCATATCCTCAAAATCCGGCTCACTTTCGAGAAAAAAATTCGAGAAGGTGTGAAATTTTTCGGCGAAAAAAAAATTTCAAATCGTTTTGAAAAAATTATTTTCGATTGCGGGGGTCAATTACGATCATTTTTGGTTATTAGACATACCCTCGAAATCCTACCCACTTTCGAGAAAAAAATTCAGTACGAGCGAAACTTTAAACGTTAATAACTTTTTAACGAAGCCTCCATCAACAAATTAGTATTCTTGGTTTTCGTCTTATTTTGGCCTCTAGAATCTTCCATTAAAATTTTTCCCAGGTGTGGCCGAACACCCTATATACAAAATTTTATAAACTGAATTAATATTAAGTTATATAGAACTTAGAATTCTCCCACGTTAATTATTTATATTTGAAAAAGTATTGAACATGTACATCCAAAATTTATTTGCATACACCAAAAGGGCTCTGCTATCATTCTGTAAAAGCACGTTAAAATCGAAGTTGGACAGAAGATTAGAAGATGTCTAATTTTGGCCATGAAATATCGTTTTACTGATCGTATTGAATTGATGAAAACTTACGTCATTTATGGTCGGCAGGAGTAGGGCTGCGTCGATCGAGAGTCTTCATGTTTCCATCGTCGCGAGCGTCGCGATCCTCGGTATCATCGTGCCGACAAAAGGATCGAAGGGTTGCACTGACGCGCTAAAGTCGGCCACGAGGGTTCAGAGACGCTTTATTCCACTCGACGAATCCGTGACCCGCTAAAAGACCTTACTTCCGGCGTGGTTCCGGTGCTCACCAATTCCGTGATCACTGCACATCCAACACACTCAGCGGTTCCCGTCTCGTCCTGCGGCCCCGGTGCTCGTTTCCTCCGTTCGTGATCGCGACGCAAACTAGACAAGTTTCAGGAAACGCCGTGACTTTTCGGGGACGTGTCGGGGGACGCGACCCATCGAGCCGAATTCGAGCTCCTCTTTCTCGTGCAAAACTTTATACGAAAAAACTCGTCCTCCCGGTTACGCAAATACAGAACCCGGTTACCAGGAATGAAATGCTGCCAGCCGTATACACCGAAAACCGGAGAAAATAACGTTTCACGGTTGTAAGGTCAAAGTTTAACGAGTTCCTACGGATTTTACTTCTTCTTTCGCGAAGAAGGGGTAGAAGAATTTATGGCGGAGAAACGAAGGAAAAGTATAGGCAGCGAGTCAAAGGATTGCTCAGATGGCAGATAAAAATTAACTTTTTTTTTTACCATGTTTGGGAACCTGATTTTAAGAATATATCTCCGAGGTTTCACGCGTGTATCTAGGAAAATGCGAAACGAGGAAGAGGTCGAAGAATTTATAGCAGAGAAACGAAGAAACGAAGAAAAAGTCAAGGGGTTACGTCTACCTAGATAGATAAAAGAAATTAATTCTTTTTTTTCTTTGAAAGCCTGAAGAATTTAATGCCCATATTGCTCCCTTCGCTGTACAGGTTAATATTTCGTTAGACTTGGACTGGTGTGATTGATCATAGGTTTGCAAATAAATTCTATTGGAATAATTTAAGATTGTCTGCTTTACCAACGCAAACAAATTACATCCGTTTATGCGTCAAACGTTGTGTAAGTAAAGGTCATCGTCGACTACGTATTTACAACGCAAAATACTAAATACCTGATACGAGTCACGAATACCTGAAGCTTGGTTCGGGACGAACATTGAAATTCCTGGAACTTCGTTCAAAGAATGTGAAAATCAAGATGCTATCTGATAAACAGAGTTTTAAATATTTTCCAAAATACTTAACGAGTAAAACGAGATACAAGAATTTTTGTTAAATTCAAGAGACAGGAACTCGAACTGCTAAAACGAAAATTATTATTTTCCACCTAAACAAAGAATGATCGTTTCCTAATGATTTCTTCCGTAGAAACTTTTAGTATAACTTATTTTTGCTACCTGAAAAGTGAAGATCTTGGTAAATACACGTTCGAAAGTTAATGCTTCAAGAATTGTTGTGTTTTATAATTTGTAGATCAATTGTGTCCGATAACACAATAGACAATTTCGATACAGATATATTCGAATGTAATTGTACAAACTATTTGCACTTCTTTCCTTTCAAATGTCTTATGTATTCAAGTCTTATCGGTATCGTTGATCGACTCGAGCAAAGCGCTGAAGATGCTTGCCAGAAAGTGAAAGAAACTCGATTTCATTGAGAAAACCTGTGTGGAAGCCTACATTCACCCGGCTATCATTTCGACCACTTGCTATGAAAAACGTTCTCTGCGATCTACACTACGTGTACTTGTGCCAATTGACTCGTAAATTAAGAAACTGAGATGTATATCAATTATCTCCTATGCATATGTTCATCAAGCACTTTTCACTTCTGGTAATGTCTAACGCGTTAAAGTTTGCATCTGTTATTTGCAATGGAACAAAGATCATATCGATGATCCTTAGTTGCAACGAGAAATTTAAAAAAAGGATAAATTTCTTCGTATTAAGCTTCGTATTGGTTATTGTTTCTTTTTGGAGTGAACCTAGGCTATTCATAATTTTTCATTATTTATTTTACTCAAATTTACTCCGAGATGATCATTAACTAACAGCTTAATGAGAACAAATATATTATATTTGGTAGTTGATTTCTTCACACGATTTCTATTGTTAGTTTCTTCACAATTCTTTTCTATTATTTTGTCTTTCTTTAAAGTAAACTTAATGTCATTCATCTTTGTGCCTTCTAATTTTATTTCTACAATTTTCTTCAAAAATACTTCTTTTCGTAGTACTGAAAAATCTTCAATATCAAGTCGAAACGATTAAAATATGTATAAATCAGCTTGTGCAAAATTGAAGATTCTCGTATTATGTTGATTGCACTTCGATTTACATACTTCAAATTTATCGATAATGATAGAATTTCCGAGAAGTTACAGACAACTTTGTTTTTATCGTATAAAGAAATGTAAGAAAAACAGCCATTACTGTTTTCCATTGCGTTGTTGAACAGTAGTGCATCGATACAACAATCACTAAAGCATAGATGACATACTTTGTAATCTTATCGGGTATTTTACTTGGACCGTAAACGCCTGTATACGCATAGTTAAACGCGACTAAAGACGATCCAACGAGTTTTGTCTTTCAACAAATACGAATGTCATAGTTTACATTAATTAAAGAAACATTTTATAATTTAACGCGTTGGTTACCATGGTGGTCACCGGTGACCGACGTTTGAAGCTTTAAAACACATACGATAAATGAACCTTAATGCTTGTAGATTTTTAAATAGTGTCACTGACCCGTCAACGTGTTAATAATAAATATATTTTGGAATTTAATAACATATAAAATGTAATTTATTTAAAGAGGTTTCATTATGCGTTTGAACTTGATACGCGAACCAAAGACTAGTCTTGATGGGATTAGGATTACAGATCGAGGTATTTAGACGAGTAAATATCGAGAACATATCGTTAAATATAGAGAAATAAAAATGCCGCAAGAAACGCGTGCGAACGGAACAACGAGATGAAAGATTCGCGCGATTCCGTTTGAAGCGTGAGCGACAGACGCGCGCAACATCGGACGTTTAGCAACGGCTGCGAAACACCCGCTTCCTGACACCGACAATCATGTCCTAGAAGCCTGAATCAAATTCACCATCAAGACTCCTCATCAGCCAGTGAAAACGTCTATCCTCGAACGAAACGGTGCAATCGACTGTCGATCTGAAAGGAGCCCCGCGCGTAACGATTCACGACTGCCTCTCTGTCTCCAACAGTCAAACACATTTTCTGCATTTCGCCTACAATATATCCAGGAAAAGATGCGTTTAAAAATTAATCGAAACCTGTCAACGTCAGCGACGAGGAGAAATTCAATCTAAACTGGAACGATTACTTCCATTTATTGTTAACACGATTTGAGGAAAGTAAAGAAGATCGCAGAGAGCTCTGGAAGATCAGTCATGTTTTGGGATGTCTTTGAAAAGAATTTTTTAAGTAAAATGGGTGTTGGACGATTAATTCCAGACACTCGATAATTTTTGCAATATCGATGATTAAATTTTTATTGTTATCTAAACCTGAAGGCCTTGCTCTCTCGAGCAACTCTAGGTACCTGACTGAATCGATAGTGTTCTTGTCTGACTATTGCAAATAACAAAAAATGAAGGAAAATCTACTAGATGCTAAATGAAAAGTAAAACGATTTTTTGAATAGGTGACAACGAGTGTGAGTTGGGGACAGTGAGTCTAGTGAGAATGGTAAGTTGGTACGAATGGAGGGAGATATCTGGCGGGGGAACGGAACGAGGTGAGCGTCGTGTCGTGTGAAAAATGTGTGTGGATTTTAAAAATATCAGACATTCCCTGAAATGTTATACTCAGTTGTGCTCAGGACTCTTCGACGCATTTAAAAGTAAGACATATTAGAAATAACTGCACAAACGAAAATAAACATTTTAACAATTTTCACTAAAATCAAATTTTTCGAACGTCAATCTCTAGAGAATATAATACAGTTTCAAGCAATTTCTGAATTTTTGCTTCAGCTCCAGTTTGGCTAGAATCATGCACACCGATCAGCCACGTAGAAAAGGATTTGCTGGTAGCGATTACGTCATAAATGCAAACAAGAATCATTTTAAAATAAAATTGACGCTTTTCTATTATAAGTTAAACCACAAAAGCTTATATCGATCAAATGATTATTTTCGTTTCTGCAGTTACTTGAAATGTGTCTTAATTTTGAACGCGTCGAAGGGTCCTTTAATGCCCATTTAAATACTCTATGGTTTTGCTGGAAATACCAAAACTCTAGACAAATTGGGGCAGAATTCGTCGTTTCCTTGACCGTCTAAAACCCAAGTTTCGCGCGCCTCGGCAAAACACCTTTCTCCTTTCGTACACGCCGAAAGCAAACCTCGATAAATCGTCAAGCAATTTATAGACGTTCGTGGGAAAAAAGAACACCGTCAAGTTTTAGAAACGTCGTCAGAAAGTTGCCCGGTGGATCGTAACAAAAAGAGTCCACCGGTTTGCAAAAGATCGAAACACCAGAGCGCTTTTAAATAATTTCTATAATCCAATAGTGGCCGGAGCAACTGTTTCGCGTTGGAATGCAAAGTTCTGCATCATTTTCTCTTTCGCCTTTTCACCGTTTCTTCGCGAGGATCGTCTTGGTAATAAAACCGTAGCGCGTGCTTCGACTTTCCTCGCGCCATGGAAACGCACTACTTCCGACGATCGGAGTTGGGTAAACTTTATTCGCGAACAACGTAAATTAACTTCTGTTTACGTAAATTCGAGTAAATAATTATTTGTTATTCGCAAATAAAGGCAAGATTGCACCGACGATCGAATATAGGGTGAAAGTACCTAACGTGGTCTAGTAAGCCAAGTGCAGTTCGATCTGTTCGTTACAGAGCAGATTAGAACTAAGAATTGTTGATTCGGTAAAAATAAATCGCGAAAAGTTAGAAAATATTCGAAAAATAAGTGGACCGTATTAGGTACTCGAACCCTCCTATTTCTCCATAGGATTCGTATTGAACTGGATCGTTAGGCGCGCGATAAGCGTCGTAAGCGGGTCGTACGATAATCTGCGAGGCGTACGAGGAAAAGCGATTTCCAGGCGAAATGATTGTCGGTCGATCGGCAACGACAGGTGGCAGATTACGAGCACATAAACGCGTCCTTTTCTCCGGTTTTCCTTCTCCGCGAGAGGCACGGGAATCTGGCACAAGTGCACCCGTGCATCGTGCACGTCCTCCGCGGTACGTGCACTTTCGCTGTCGTTCCGGAGACGAACGAACTCTATCCGGCCACAAACGACGAACAATCCTTACGCGATAAGTGATATCCTGATAGATCCTGGCCGCATCCAGCAGCTTTCTTATCCTTGCGTCTCCCTTTCGAGACCGTTCGACGTACGATTCGTGAAAAGCTGTCACAGGAGGGAAACGCGATTTTTGACCTCTCACGCGCTCGCTTCTCTGGACCCAGACGTTTTCGCGCTACGCGGGCTCGAATTCACGGGCATTTCTTTCCGTCACCCTCGGGACACCCTCGCGGCGAGGACACGCTTGCCTCTGAAACCGGCGCCGTATTCGCGGCCGAGGAGGGGGCGAGCAAACGAGTGGCGGGCAGAGAGCACACCGCGGGATTGGAAATTAATGCGAATGCGCGAACGGACTCGGTCTAACTGCGGCCGACGATACCCGTCGACGTCGGTGGCAAATGTTGGATGGTAGGGGAACAGGACCCCGGGGACTGGGGACTGGGGACCAGCTCCGACAGTGGCGATTGTGATTGTTGGCACGATCGTAGGCAGCCCGCGCCAGGAGAAGGTTGCCTTCGCCACCGATCGCTACGCTACTGTTACTCCTTTTAAAAAAGACTCCGCGGAAGAGAGGGGAACGGGACTGTCCCCGTTATACCCTTTCAGTCTCGATATTACAACCCCTAAAAAAATATTTCAATTATCGAGTCTGTTTCGTAAGAGACGCGATAGATCAGAAAACAATCATTTACTTCGTAAACAATTGTGTACAGATCGCAAGTGGGGGAGACCAGGGCTAGAAGTTCGGATTTTGAGAAAAGATCAAAAATGACTAGGAAGTAATGTAGTTAGTTTTTTCACTCCTAATTTATTGTTTTTGTTATATTTTAAGATTTTCAGAATATATAAGTTTTTCATAGAAACTCGTTTTTTCTAATGAGACATTTCATTCTCTGATGAAATGAAACACAATTTTATTAATAAGGTTTGTGTCGGAGATTCCCCCCATTAGCGATTATCTCTTGACAACGTTTAGGCATGCTATCTACCAACTTTTTTGCATATGATAACAAAGATCTAAATATCTCACGAATTTTCCTACTTAAAAGTATTTCAACGAAGCTAATTTCGATGGTAACGAATTACTAGGAAATTAAAAATATAAGTTCGCGTTCATAGGAGCATCAAAGCGGAAACGCGTAATGGCAATTATAAAAGCAAAATATAAGATAATGTACAAGTTGGAAAGTAGTGAGAGTGACGTAAAACAGTGAAATACTGTAGTTATCGGTCTCCGTTAAGAATCCGCGATGCATCGATAGATCTTGAGGAAATACTCTTGTAAGGGTATTTGTCCAATAAATAAATAAACTGTATTTTGTATGTTTTGATGTTCGAGGATGAAAATATGTCAGGATTGGCCGAAATGATGATGTCTGTCGACATGTATGTATATACAGGGTGTATACATTTCTGGCCACACAGTATATTTGCGGTAAAGAATTTTTTTCTCGAAAGTACGTAGGAATTCGGGGGTGTGTCTATTGACCAAAAATGATTGTAATTGACCCCTGCAACTAAGAATAATTTTTTCAGAACGATTTGAAATTTTTTAATTTTGTCGAAAAATTTGTCTACTTTCTGGAATTATTTTCTCGAAAGTGGGTAGGATTTCGAGGGTATGTCTATTCACCAAAAATGGTTGTAATTGACCCCCGCAAACAACAGAAATTTTTCCCGAACGATTTGAAATTTTTTAATTTTGTCGAAAAATTTAGGCACTTAATGAATTTTTTTCTCGGAAGTGGGTAAGATTTCGGGGGTATGTCTATTGACCAAAAATGATTGCAACGGACCCTAGCAACTAAAACTAATTTTTTCAGAATGATTTGAAATTTTTTAATTTTGTCGAAAAATTTGTCTACTTTCTGGAATTATTTTCTCGAAAGTGGGTAGGATTTCGAGGGTATGTCTATTCACCAAAAATGATTGTAATTGACCCCCGCAACCAACAAAAATTTTTCCCGAACGATTTGAAATTTTTTAATTTTGTCGAAAAATTTAGGCACTTACTGAATTTTTTTCTCGGAAGTGGGTAAGATTTCGGGGGTATGTCTATTGACCAAAAATGATTGTAATTGATCCCTGCAACTAAAAATAATTTTTTCAGAACGATTTGAAATTATTTAATTTTGTCTAAAAATTTCACACCTACTCGAATTTTTTTCTCAAAAGTGCGTAGGATTTCGGGAGTATGTCTATTGACCAAAAATGATTGTAATTAATCCCTGCAACTAAAAATAATTTTTTCAGAACGATTTGAAATTTTTTAATTTTGTCTAAAAATTTCACACCTACTCGAATTTTTTTCTCAAAAGTACGTAGGATTTCGGGGGTATGTCTATTCACAAAAAATAATTGTAATTGACCCCTCTAGCTAAAAATAATTTTTTCAGAAAGATTTGAAATTTTTTATTTTGTCTAAAAATTTCACACCTACTCGAATTTTTTTCTCAAAAGTGCGTAGGATTTCGGGGGTATGTCTATTCACAAAAAATAATTGTAATTGACCCCTCTAGCTAAAAATAATTTTTTCAGAAAGATTTGAAATTTTTTAATTCAATTTATATTCTTGATTTTCGTCTTATTTTGGCCTCAAGAATCTCCCATTAAAAAGTTTCCCAGGGATGATCGAACACCTTGTATATGTTTAAAAATGTTACTCTGATCGATATGTATAAAGAAATGGCACGAAATGGGAAACAGCTAAAACAGGCGATCGATGACGTGGAAAACGATCGTTCGCGCGATACGTTTCTCCCGTTTCACGGGATATTGAGAACCGAACGCACCGGATGGCCCTTGTTCTTCAAGAGGCAGCGTTCCGAGGAAGCGATATTGTTGGCTGCGAGGCCGGAAACACGTGGCACGGTTCGCGTGACTCGATCGGACCGAATCTCTCGGGCCGAAGATCAGTCTTGGCGGACTCTGGCGTCCGATTCCGACCTCCGACTAGAAAACGTGTCTCGTTGAAAAAAAAAAAAAGAGACAAAGCAACCGGGACTGGCGAAGAAACAAAGAGCAGAGAAGTAGAAGGGAAACGAGCCCGGAGACTCGCGATTAGAAGCGATCGTTTTCCGGTTTTCCGTTTCAGAGCCACAGGCCTGCCCCTGCTTTTTCCTTCCTGCTTGCTCCTTCGTCTCGAGGCTCGCCTTGTCTCCCGAGAGGGAAAGTATTTTATACCACGGTTGGCTTGGCAAGAGAAAGGGGACACGGTTCGCTCCTAATTTCTGTTTTAACTCGGTGAACCTATACAGGGTGTATCCTAACACGCGGGACCCAGGTTCAGCTGTCAATCGACACGCGTACCTAACAAGGAAATCGAACTTAAAGGGGCTATTCTAATCTAGAATCATAAGAAAATCATTTGTTTTTTATTTCATTTTCTGAAAGCAACATACTTTGCATTTTTCTCAAATTACCTTATGATACCTCAAGTTCTAGTTGATCGATTACGACCAAGTTTGACAAGTATCTTCGACGCGTGTGTCTCTATCGTCCGTAGCAAAATTGTTTAAATACAATGTTTTTAACCGTTCGTTTGGCACGTTAAAGTGGAACAAAGTGCTGTAAAAATTTTTGCACACTTTCGGTACTCACGATAGACGCGTCTACATTAAACATAATGGTTGTTCGTTCGTTTACATCTGATAAGAAGAACGACCGGTATCGTGGCAACCGTGCAGGCATATTCGATCGAAGGAGCTCTTTTAAAACATCTACATCGTCGACGATTTAAAATATATTGTCAAAACCATGTCACACAAATCCTGATACAATAATGTGTTATGGTCGTATAAAAAAATAATCTCAAAATGCGCTTAAACAATTAACCTCTAGACTACGATAACTCCCTAATGCTTTTATGATTTTCATCGATGTACAAATTATTAGGATAAAGTGTCGAAGTAAACTTTGAATTGAAAATTTCGACTCCTCGGGAGAACAGTAAACGATTACAATTTAGTTTCCCTGGTTTGATTTCGCGGAACTTAAACGTTTCATTTGTATAAATAGTGGTTCGAATATCGAAGTTACTCGTTGCATCTGAATAAGGATTTAGCCCGTCACTGTCCATTTGTTGTTAGACCACGGTGCAACAAAGGCGATCGGAAGAAAGGTGGGGACTTTATCACATGGCGCAGACGCGAACTGGGTCCGCTTTTCTACCGGAGAGACGAGGATGCAGCCTCTTGGCTAAAAGTGAAATCGTCTGTACGCCGGGCTTGTATCATAGCCGTTATTATATGTTATGGCAGGGTTCGGAAGAGTCGAGAGACCGCGATTACAGCAGCTCGAGCACCGGAACACCAGCGGCGGGCGCGTGCGCGACCGGATATCGCGTCTCAACATCCGTCTAAACGAACACGCGTACGCATTCGACGAAACTGAAAATAAAAGTATCAATTATTTGCCCGTGAACGAGACCAGATCCACGGGGAAATCCGCGTATTGTTTCCAGCTGGTAGACGAGTAAACACAAGGCGCAGGTATCTGCGTTAATTACGAAAGTGAAAGTATGGGTCATTCAACGATGCTGGAGTGTACGTATTCACGTATATACGTGCATATGAAATAAAAAGAAATCTTCTTTACGTTCCTTTTACGTAATTGATCTTGATACTGTTACCGCCGTTTCGATTATCCACGCGGTGAGACCGAACTACGGCCACGAGCAAAACGGCAAACACCCAACGATATTATCATCTCGTAACGACCGTGAAGCACCGTTTTCCCCCCCGGAAAACCCGCACGAAAGTCGATTTCAAAAATTTGACTGCACAACGATTGCTTCTTGAATCAGTCGAATGCACGACCCTCGTTTTCTTCGTTCGTGTTCTTCGTAAAGCACTGTGCTTCCGTTCAAAGTTTTTCTGACGCCATGTCTCTTTCTGAATTGCATGACGAACGTGGTGAAAGGTTCGTTTAGCTAAGTAATTGTCCACTGTTTGAAATAAATTCCATTTTCAGAAGCTTTTTTTGGTACATTTTCTACTGTCCTTTGGTTCAAAGTTTCTCTGACGCCATGTTTCTTTCTGGATTGCATATCAAACGTGTTGAAGCAAAACGTTCGCTCAGTAATTGTCCACTGTTTGAAATAAATTGCATTTACAGAAGCTTTTTTGGTACATTTTGTACAGTGCTTTGGTTGGAGAACGTGTTAAAGCAAACGTTCCCTTAATTAAGATGAAACAAAACTTGATCAGAAACTCGTTTGTTTGACAATTAATTTTAAGAAGAAGCAGCCATCTAGAATCAAAAGTATTTTATTAAGGAATCATTTGAAAGAATTGTTAACATCGATGTTTATAATTTGTAGATAAATGTTCTAGGATTCTTATTTTCTGGTTG